AGAAAGCAGAACTGAAATGACAGTTTCCATTTGTTAAGCACTTATAGCAGTTGTTAGCAATTGATTGAACAGCATAATATACATCAAAGAACTGTGTTGTGTTCTATGAGGAAGGGCGAAAGGGCGAATTTTTTTTTATTGAGGATTCTGTGAAATGATCTTGTCTAGGTCTTATTTTGCACACATCTCATGTGTCTAGGAAGCCATGGCTTCTGCCCCTTCTCTTTTTATTTGAGCAGTGCTGGCCACTAAATCTTCCATTTGGCAGTGGAGGAGCCGTTTCTTCAACTCTTTTCTCTCCTCAGCAGAGATATTGCATTTGAATGACTAATGTAGCACTCAGTGTGCAAGCTATTCACTGGCCAAGATTCATACGATGCCAGTCGATATCTTTTATTAGACCAAACATGAATTTTCTGAATATAAAAGTTCCAAAAATCACATTGGTATTAGTTAATAGTGAAATGAAACAAGTACAATCCAAAGCTTGTAATCTCCTGGCTGTTAAGGATGGACAAGTATCTCATTCGCATCTCTTTGCTCTTTGGTTATAAAAAGGCCACTTTGTTTCTCTGCTCTGCCTGAAGAATTCTGCTATCATCTCAAAAAGGAAATTCAGGATCTGTGGTTTTATCATGCAGCTGACATATCTTCAATCCACTTTAGCTTCTGAATTCTTTCTGAACATGTAACGTTGTAAACTGAAGGTTAAACTGAACTGGTGGAAATTGATATAGACATATATTCCACCCACATAGGAGATATGGACCATCAAAATTCCAATTTGGTTTGCAGGTGAAGTGGGTAGTTTCTAACAACTCCCAATAGAATGAAAGGCAGAATAAGAGCCATGGCACCCAGGAGACTCTTGTTCCAGAACAAAGCCAGAAATTCATATCTGGATGAGAAACTGTTTTTTGTGAGGAACTCTCCTCCCTGCTCCCCATTTGATCTGAACTTTGCTATTGTTCTGTTGGGAGATACAGAGAAGTGGTGGTGCCAGTGTGGAGCGAGATGGACAAAAGATCTATTTGTGTTGTCCTAGAAAAGGGTTCATGCTTGATGTCAGCATCCCATCTTGTTTGGGCATCTGTGCAAGCTGCTGTTCCAGAACTAAAATGTGCCTCTATCAAGCCCAGAATGTAGGCAACAATAAGCAGTCTGCTCCTTTTTTCTCTCCCTATGGGACAGAGAAGATGGGAGCATGCATCCAGGTCTTTTTGGGCTTGGGATAGGTTCATCTGGGAGAGCAATGGGCCAAGCTTGCTTAGCATTGTTTATCTAATAGCAGCAGACTATAAAGCTGGAGTTGTTAGAGGCATGAAGTTCCCTCTTCTGGTCATGCCCCTTCATTACATCCTAGAAATTATTGTATTGATCACAGGTTCACTGAGTAGTTTGAGAAGCACAACTTCTAAAGGTTCCCAGTCAAAAGACATGGTTTTTTTCCCCACCAGGAAGAAAGACAAAGTAGAAATATAAACTTTCATTTGGAAATGATGTATGTCATGTCCTCTATACAATTCTGTGAACAAGGCACTATAATTTCACAGCAACAGCTTGTCTGGAAGTGCCTACCATATTCTTCCAGCAGGGAAAGTATATTTTTACATTTATACATTACCATCTCCTCTAGAAGTTCAGGGTGGCATCATTTTATAATCACAGCATTATTCCTGCAAGGGATTTGGAGCTGTTGTATAATCACTGCTAAAAAAGCCTCCACTGGTCAAGTGGGGATTTAACTGTAGGTCTCCCCAGTCACAGTCCAATACATTAACTACTAACTGATATTGACTTCAGAATTGCGGCTTTTGCTGGACCAATCTTTTTTTTTTTTAATTATAGTTGTAACTTGGATAGCAGATTGCTGATTTGATTTAATCAAGGTAGGAATTTGAAGAAAGGAAATAATACATCTCATAACCTATTAATGGCACTAAGGACAATCTAAATGTTTCCACTATTTCTTTCGAATACATTAGCTTCTATCTTGATAGTCTCTCTCTTTTTGGTTTGTGGTTGTTGACTGATATAAAGTTAACTTGGTGTAACTTAGTCCAGCTAAGAAGCTGGATTGTGAAGCAGAAAGCAGTTGCTTTGAATTTATCCAGCATACACTGGTTGCATTCATAAAACTTACTTAACCTGTTTATTGCATCATGGCTTGGGACTACGGTACCTGAAAGGGTCGCCTTTTTTCTAGAGTCCCTACCCATCCAATCAGGGCAAATAGAATGGACATGCTGCAGATCCCATCAGACAAAAATGTTGGCTGACAGGGACTAGAAGGTGAGCTTTTTCTGCAATGGTCCCTGCTCTGTGAAACATCCTCCCTTCGGAGATTAGAATGGCCCCAAGCGTGTTTGCCTTCTATAAAGCTCTAAAAAATTTGGCTATGCTCCCAAGCCTGGGATGCTACATGTGCCAAGGCCCCCACCTCTTGGCTATATTGTTAACAGGCCAGATACCTTGCCTTTGTACGTACTTCAGATTAGACATAATGTTTTTTTATTGTTTTAATGCTTTTTAATATTTTTATTGTTTTAAAATGTTTTTAAATTTTTAATTGCAATATATGTTTTGAATATAGGTGAGCTGCCCAGTGTCATTTGCTAAGATGGGCAGCTACAGAAATCAAATCAATAACTACATACATACATACATACATACATACATACATACATACATACATACATACGCAAGCTCACTTCTGCTTTTGCAGAAAACATTAAAGCAATGTGGTTAAAATACTAGACTAGGACCAAGGAGATGAAGATTTTTTTTCCCCCTCTCAGCCATGGAGCCATTTTCTCTCAGCCCAACCAACTTCCTAAGGTTTTTGTTGTGAAGAAAAATAGGAAGTTAGATTGCTATATATGATGTTTTGAGCTTCTGAATGAAAGGTGGGTACCTAATAAACAAACAAGCAAACCATAAATGAACTGAACAAAGTGGTTTTGTGAAACCTATGAAACACACACACACAAATGAACATTAATGAAGCTCAGCATGTTATATGAATAAATGTAAACCTGGCTAAGTACATACACAGTCATCACATGTCCTTAAACTGCTGTTTCTAAGCCTCAATATCAATCTGTCCTTCAGCATTTTGTGGAAAACTAATATTCTCCTATCCTAAAAGGAAAAGCTACACCTTGAAGTTCAAATAACTGTTTTGCACATACATGATCCTATACTAGGTCCCCAGGACCTTCAAAGAAAATTGGGAAAGATTCCCGCTTGAAAACTTATTAAGCTGCTATCAAAGCTGGCACTATCAAAAATACTGAGTTTAACCGTGTGACTCAGAATAAGCAACTTCTAAGAACGGATTATACGGAGGTAATAAATATGAAGAACGTTGAACTTTAAATAATTATACAAATGCTAATTTGTCATTCCTGATTCCATAAAAAATATAACTTACATTAAATCCTAATGCTAAATGCTAAGATAGGGAAAACAAATAATTTGCTCACTGCTTTCACTATGAGTACAAAGGGATTTAAACAGTTACCATATCTGGTTCCAAATTCAATTGACCATTACTTGGCAACAGAACATAGATGTTTATATCCTTTGGCACCCTCTACTGGTTATCTAATTTTGCACATGTGCAATTATATTATTGCCCTTATTTGAAATATTTTAAAATTACCTTAAAGTATTTAGCTGACCTCCCCACCTTTCCCACTCACTGAACTGGTGCAAGTTTGCCTGGAGAAAAATGGAATTACAACTCAACATATTGGAATGGGGAACCAATCATATCAAGGAGGATTGTTTTAAATTACATACTAAGTAGGCAATATATATATATATTAAATTCCCACCAAAGAATTTAAGAAAGTTCAAGAGTCTGAGTTTGACTTCTGAGGCTGCCACGAAGAGAAGTGCATTTGACTTCTTTTTTCAAACAATAATTAACATGTCAAACTCCCTATCACTAGCTGCAATCATTAGTTTAAATAGTTTTCAAAAGTGAAGATGGGTTTCTGGAGAACATATTCTGAGCAGCATTTGCACATGGTGGGAAGCACCACACAAGAAGGTGATTCCTAAAATAATTGGACCTTCGGGGAGACTTATATCTATAAATAACCATGTGCCGGGAACAAGCAATAAGGGAGCTTTGCAAATTTGGTTGTGCTCTTCCCAACTGAATCTGGTTGGCCAAAGATGAAAAGATAACATGGGTTAGATGAGTCTTTGTCTGGGCTAGCAAGGCTTCTCTGATCTTCTGGGGGCTCAGCTGCACAGTGGGTGACTAGAGGGACTGGCCCTGCCTGGGGTCTCTTATGCTGGATCATTGGGCAGGCAAAAGAAAGAGGAACAGAGGTTCCTTTGTGCCGCCTCATCTCATGCCTGCTTTGTATGTGTTGCAGCTGCCAGCTTTCCTACAGCTTGACCCAGGATTATTCATCTGGGCAAGCAGGGGGTAGCAGCCCCATTACTTCCTCAGATTCTCCATCCTTGCCTGCCTTTCCATCAGTTGGGGAAGGGGAGAGACATAAAACAACCAGAGTGCAGCCTTTTCCTCATTATCCTGTGTTATATAAAGTGGGTGTAGGCCAGTGGTGGGTTGCTCCCGGTTCGGCCCAGTTCGGCCGAGCCGGTAGCGGTGATGCTATTACATCACTGAACCAGTTCTCTTTCTTCGGAAGCTGGGCCTTCCTGCCCGCCCCGCGTTATTCCGACCTTATATTTCTTCTTTTTTTCACTCAGCTAGAGGTGCGGCAGAGCGGATTGCCACACCTCAGCTGGGCAGATTCGCAACGCGCTTGCACAAAGCAGGGAAGAGACGATCAAGCGCGCACACAAAGAGAACCGGTAGTAATGCCGGTTAGAACCCACCCCTGGTGTAGGCTGTGTTTTCATATCTGGCTGTTTCTTCTTTGCATCTCTTGAAGGAGCTCCAGAAAAGCCTGCGTAGAATCAAGCCTCCTTCCTTCCAGCCTAGCTGTAATAACTGACTCTCCTTCCTCTTTTGGCAGAATGGGGCTGTGCCTGGTGAAACAGGTAAACGAGATGAGCACATGAAACGAGGCAACTGGGGCAACCAGATTGAATTCGTTCTCACGAGTGTTGGATATGCTGTTGGGCTTGGCAACGTGTGGCGCTTCCCTTACCTCTGCTACCGCAATGGAGGAGGTGAGTATGGAGGTCAGAGACTGTGTTTGTGGGAAGGCTGGTGAGGACTATGTGGGAGCATGCATCTACCATAGTCTGGCCTGAAAAGTACAAAGTTGTTGTGACCTAAGTTGCCCACAGGGAATGGTGGGCCTTTCACTGCAGCTTCCTAACAATTCTGGGACTCAGCTTTGTTCTTGGGGCCTGGCTCAAGATGGGAAGCTATATGCTTCCCTACCTTCCTGACCAGAGGTACTTTGAATGTACTAAGTTATGATTTTCAGGACTTGTGAACCAAGCTGGGCTGGGAATTCTTTAACTAATAGCCCAAACCCTTTTGGTAAACCTGTCCATTTCTGCACATTCCATTACTTTTAGTATTATTTTGTCCTCTGATGGCGTGTCTTCTAATTTCCAAGTTTGCACGATTGTGATTCTTGCTGCTGTCAAAGATATGAATTATCAAATATTGTATTTCTTTTTCATAATGATTTGGGGTTTTTTTTGGTTTTTTTTAATTATTATTATTTTATTTTTTTAATAATGATTTGTTAATATTCCTAATAGGTATGTTTCTGGTTTCAATAGAACTCTCTGGGTAATAATTTCTTCTAATTGTTTTTGGATCATTTTCCAAAAATTTTTTGCTTTTTGGCATGACCACCACATAAGATAGTATGTCCCTTTTTGTGATCTACATTTCCAACAATCTTGTGAAGTGTTAGGGAACATCTTTGCCAGGCGTGGGGGAGCTCAAACACTTCTGGAAGGCACCAGATTGGGGAAAGTCCAGCTAACCTACCAATTGCACATACTGGTATTGAGTTTGTAGGAAAGGAATGCTTGAAACAAGCTGGGAATTACTGGCACAAATAGCAGACTTTATTCCCATTTTGAATAAAACCTAAAATGTATCTTTTATTTCTTCATGGCTTTAAAGTCCTCCATTTCCTCAATCCGAGAATTTTAAATCTTACCCAGTGCTTTCTTATTCTACATTGACTCTTTTATAACTGCAGATGCCAGGAACTGAATTTGACCTTGGCATACAGAGCATGACTTCGAAATCCTGTAAGACTGATTTCTTCCTTTTATTCTGTCTCTAGGTGCTTTCCTGTTCCCCTATTTCATCATGTTGGTGTTCTGTGGGATCCCCCTGTTTTTCTTGGAACTCTCTTTTGGACAATTTGCTAGCCAGGGCTGCTTGGGCGTCTGGAAGATCAGCCCCATGTTCAAAGGTAAGAGAGAATCAATGGACACTCCCTCAGATTACTGCCACAATCACATTCTCCATCTGGATCTTGTGCGCCCCCCCTCCCCCGACGTTACAACAGGGCCAGTTCTACCATAAATCAGAGCTGAAATGTGTAGCAAGGGAACACTATGTTCTCCATTGTTTCAGGCAACAAAATGTCTGAGCTGAAAGACACATTGGCATTATCAAATGAGAAATATGTATCATTAGATATATTAGTATGTTTTACAAACATTTTAAACTAGAGAATTTTAGTAGTTGGAAAATAAAGTTGCTACCCTGCCCCACTTCCAGGTCAGCTACATCATCCACAGTGCTTCCTGTGAGTGGACTATTACTTTCTTCTTCTGAGGCAGAACTGAAGTCCTAAAGACACTTCTCTAGGATCATTGCAGTTTTAGCCTCACACACACACACACACACACACACACATGGATATCCCTCAGTGGTGAAATCTCAAATTTGTTACTACTGGTTCTGTGGGCATGGCTTGGTGGGGGGTAATGTGACTGGGTGGGTGTGGTCTTTTTTTTTTTTAAACCATTTTTTCTACAACCTCTTCAGCGAAGAGGTTGTAAAAAAATGCTTTCAAAAGGCTTTGACGATCCCAGCTGAGTTGCCTGATTAGCAGAGGCTTTCTTTCTTTTAAAAGCTTCTGCCGATAAGGCAACTCAGCTTGGATCATTAGAGGCTTTTAAAAGAAAAAAAACCTCTGTCTATCAGGCAACTCATCTTGGATCGTCAGAGGCTTTTAAAAGCATTCAGAGGTTGTAGAAAAAATGCTTTTAAAAGCCTTTGACGATCCCAGCTGAGCCGCGCGATCATCAAAGGCTTTTTTTTTTACTTTTAAAAGCATTTTTTTGGCCGAAGAGGTTGTAGAAAAAATGCTTTTAAATTTTTTTAAAAAAACCTCTGATGATTGCACAGCTCAGCTGGGCATGGTGGGGGGGGCAAGGATTTTTGCTACCAGTTCTCCTAACCACCCACCTCCATCGCTACCGGATCAGGCGATCCGGTCCAAACCAGGAGCATTTCACCTCTGGTATTCCTGCAGGACAAAGAAGGGTGTAGATGACACAGCATGCATGGACACAATGCAGTACAGATCCTAGTCCCTTTCTACTTGCATTGCAAAATTGCACACAAGAATGTAAATGGAAGAAATTATGTCTTGATTTCACAATGCACAATGCACATTTCATCATTTGACAAAATCTCAACTTGCTGCATATGTCTTGAAAAAAAGAGGATGGAAGACAACAAAACAAAAAACAAAACAAAACAAAACAATGGTGGATGCCTACCACATCCACTCCTGACTATCCAAGCCTGATCAGACAAATATATATTTCTTCCCCCACTGTGGAGAGGAACTGGAGAGAAAAGATATCCACTCAGCTTCCTTGCAGCAACTCTAGGATTTTCAAAATGGTTGCTGTATGCCATCTAGTTTTGATCTAACTGGCATGGAGCCGAGGTAATTAACCAGGGGACTGGGTAACTGTCAGCCATGTAATGTGAACACAATTTCTAGAACCATATCTGATTATTGCTAAAAACCTGATTGAAGGCCTAGCAACTAAGCTTGTATTTTCATTTCAGAGAACCTGCTTTTTTTAAAGGTAGAACATCTGTAGTTCACAATAAATCCAAAAGAAAAGGTCAGCATATATACTTCCTAGCACTAGCTTTCTGCCATATTTATTCTGCCCAGTTGTAAATGTATGAGTTATGGTCCCTCTAATCTAGATACGTTACTATTCATGTGCAGTCTTCTTGTTTCCCACCTCTTGGCTACATTTCTGCTGTTTTGAATCTGGAAGCAGAAGACTGTAATGGCAGTGTTTGCACTAGATATTTAATGCTAAAGCACCAGCAGCCAATTCTAATTGTGGTGTTCACCTCCTTGCATACGCTTCAACGAACCATATAATGGCTTAATGGATAGTCTGATTCACACAACTGGATAGGAGAATGGCTAGGTTCCAAAAAACATGCTGAACCACAAACCGCAATATTGTTTTAGTTGTATAAACCTAATCAGTGTGTGTGAGTGTTGGCAGGACCTGACTCTGTATCATAAACTAGCCTCATGAGCTTTATTGTTTCTGCTTTAAATTAAACTTGCCCCTGCCATATGTAGTGTGCATGTTGCAAACTTACACCCTCTGCTTTACAATTCCAACATGAATGTGTTCTGTTTTTTACATTTAGCAACAAACTCCCATCTCAAAATCTTCCTATTTATCCTTATACTTTATTTCCTTCAGGTGTTGGCTATGGTATGATGGTTGTCTCCAGCTACATTGGAATCTATTACAATGTTGTGATCTGTATCGCCTTCTATTATTTCTTCTCATCAATGACACGGGTGCTACCCTGGACATACTGTAATAACTTTTGGAATACAGGAAATTGCACCAGTGTGTTGGATGTTACCAACAGCTCAGTGGGTTCATCACTCAACATCACACGTATCTTCAACCAGACTCTGAAGCGCACTAGCCCCAGTGAGGAATACTGGAGGTGATAATGGAGGCAGATAATGGGCAGGGAGGGGAATTAAGTAAATGGATATGTGGGGAAATGGGAATTGGTTTGTGAGAGATGTGGGAATAATCTGATCATCACTTCTGAGCATTAGTTATTACGCTTACTGGGATGATGGAAGTTTTAATTCAGAACATATAGACAGGGACAGAATTATGGAAGACTGATCCATAATTGGGCATGTCACAATGGCACATTGAATCTGTGATCCTAGCTTATTCTGTCTATAAGTTTCAGCCACCATCCCAACCGCTGTGTCTGAATGACATTACCTAAGGCAAGTTGTATATTGGAAAGATGTTGCTTCAAATGGAACAGGTAGCAAAAAGATTGGATGTAGGCAGAGCCATATGTTATTAACATGATTTATAATCAGAGGCAGATAGAATATTGCTGGATCAAGGGATGGAAACAATAGGTAAGAAAATAAAATTGCAGTATTTTTGACTTGAGTTGAAATAAATCCATTTTGACCCTTGAATTAGGAAATCCAAGAATATCATGTTAGGGGAGTTATTTATACTCTAATAGACTTGTCACCTATATTTTTAAAAGTTTCTTATTAGAGGTGGTTGAAAACAATTTCTCCATAAATTCTTATGAATCTTATCATGTTGGTGAAAGCTGGTGTAAGTTCGTAGTGCTGAACTATGAACATCTATATACTGGTGTACTTAATTTCTGACTCTAAAACTTGTTCAAAGCAGTTAACTATCCCATCTTTTAGATTTTTTTTCCTGTATTTGTTGATCTTGAGTGCCAGTTTTGGAGACCCATGGATGCAAATTGGTTTGGTGCATTTGCTAGACATGGATGTAAAGTGCTTGCAAACTGGAGCTTATATTCCTATCTTTTCTTCCAGGCGGTATGTATTGAAGCTCTCTAATGACATCGGGAATTTGGGTGAAGTGCGGCTTCCCCTGCTGGGTTGTTTGGGCGTCTCTTGGATCGTCGTCTTCCTCTGCCTATTCAAGAGTGTGAAGTCCTCAGGAAAAGCAAGTAGTGTTCCTCTTCCTTAACTCACCCATGTCCAAGCCTAGCCGTGTCCATATAAACCCTTTACTGCTTTTAGATTGGCTTTTGACCCTATCTGCAAACACCCTTGTCCCTTGTCTTGGACTATTTTCCCACTTGAAGTTTTACATTGACATAGCACTCCTCATGTTCATCCTTATAGTCACATAAGAGCGGTTTATCTCATTCTATGGGTTTATAAAACTAGTCAAAAATGGGTGTTCCGAAATACTTATTAGATTCTATTTATTTGTTAAACTATAGTGGCTGCAATAGAGGGTGTTTATTTTAAGAGCTGTGGTGGCGCAGTGGTTAGAAGGCAGTACTGCAGGCTACTTCTGCTGACTGCCGGCTGCCAGAAGTTTGGGTCTCACCGGCTCAAGATTGACTCAGCCTTCCATCCTTCCAAGGTTGGTAAAATGAGGACCCAGATTGTTGGGAGCAACATGCTGACTCTGTAAACCGCTTAGAGAGGGCTGTAAAGCACTATGAAGCGGTATATAGGTCTATATTCTATTGCTATTAAGAAGAATAGAGTCAAAGCTTATTTGGATAGGCCAGGGGTGAAATGTAAAATTTGTTACTACCGGTTCTGTGGGCGTGGCTTGGGGGGGTTAATGTGACTGGGTGGGCATGGCCAACTTTTTTTTTTTTTTAACTTTTCAAAGCATTTTTTCTAATGCTTTGAAAAGCCTCTGCCAATCAGGCAACTCAGCTGGGATCGTCAGAGAGGCATTTTAAAAATTACCTCTCTGCCGATCAGGCAACTCAGCTGGGAGTTGCCAGAGACTTTTCAAAGCATTTTTTTTACCACCTCTTCAGCCAAGAGGTTGCAGAAAAAAATGCTTTGAAAAGCCTCTGATGATCCCAGCTGAGCTGCGCTTTTTTTTTTTTTTTTTTTTTTTTACTTTTAAAAGCATTTTTTCGTCAGAAGAGGTTGTAGGAAAAAAAGCTTCTGATGATTGTGCGGCTCAGCTGGGCATGGGGGTGGGGCTCAGGGATTTTTGCTATTGGTTCTCGAACCACCCGCCGCCATCGCTACTGGATCAGGCAATCCGGTCCGAACCGGAGCATTTCACCCCTGCTGTAAATGGACATATTTCTTTTGTTAAAGTAGACTGCCCCAAATTTTCCAGAGGAAGAAAACTAGAAAACTCTATCATATTAATTACATTTTTTAAAAAGGAGAGAAGGTAGGGAAGCCTTTGCAGTTCCACCAATCAAGTGCTTCATGTATCCTCTTTACACCTGCCCTCAATTTAAAGCTTTGTCATGCATATGCACATGAAATTTAAACTGAGAATCTGCACACAAGCATTAGTGACTTTTTTCAAGCATTCAGCATAACAGTATCAATCTAGAAAAGCAAATCAGCTTACATTTAAAGAGACATCTCTAAATAAACTTTGTACATGTTTACAAATAACTCCAATAACATATATACACAGATCTGATAATAAGACCAGTGATGATATAATTGTGACCATAGACTGCAAACATTACAAGTATCACTTTTATTTTCAAAATTGCATCCGATTCTTCACATAGCTCAGTGTTTAAAATATATCACAATGTAGTCATATCTATCCAAACTAAGAAATAGACTAGCAGCCTGAAATGTTTTCTAAAAAAAGACTTTTTTACTTTGGGTCACAATCAAGATGCTGTACCTTTTCTCTCAAATTGTATAACTGAACAAGAGCTGCTGCAGTTGTTTAAAATGAAGCGCTAAGGAACTTACTCACCAAAAGGCAGTGTCATGAAGGCCCATTATCATTAAAAATTCTTTTATTTTCTTCTCTTTTTCTGCCACAATATGGATTGCCAAGTAATAACCAAAAGGCGAAAAGGCAATCACTAAGTAAATCAGAATGATGGCACGAGGAAAATTATCTATTTCCAAAATAGCAGATTCCCCCATCATGACAGATTTTGTTTGTTCCAGTTGTTCCAAAACTGAGTGATTAGTCTTCAGCTGAAAAAAAAAAATGACTGTTAAAACCAGGTTTTGGAATAGCTTCTGCTAATAAAGAACGTTATATCCAAAGCTGTAAAACAGTTTACGACAGATCTAATTTATCTATTTTATATCTCCATGCAAAATATTTTGGGTTTCACAAAGGAGGTCTGGTTTATTTTATATATTTATTATATAAATATAATAAATAATAATTTATTATTATTCGGTTGCTCAAATTTTAGAATAAAGAAAAAGTGGGATAAATAAAATAGGAGGGCCTTAAGATAAAAATGTTCTGTATCAATGGATAGAAAACTTGATTAAAGAACACTTACTAGATTAGGCAAAAAAACCCAACCCTATGAATCAGCTTTCTAATACATTTACATTAGCCTAATTGCAGCCAGAGTAATTTTTAGACTGATCTCCTCTTTGAGAAGACTGAATTCAATTACTGGTAATCAGGTGAAAAAGCTATTAAGCTGTTGGCACATTGTTTGAAGCAAAAAAACCAATAGAGTTTAATTTCTGAAATTGTTGTAGTTGATAGGCAGAAGTTGTTAGGTTCAGAACCTTTAAAAATAATTTTTCCCTTTTTCTTAGAAATCATTTTATAAATTGGATCAGTGGTAATTAATATATTAATCACTTTATGAGTCAGATAAATATTCAGCGATATCACAAAGTAACATTGATATTTTGAAAGCTCCTTTGCCACTTTATTTAACAAGTATTGAAACTGATCCAATCATCGCAAAATGGTTCAGTTCCTGGGCTAGATGGTTTCCAAGTGGAATGGAATAAACTGTGGTACTGACAAGACTTGAAATTCTATCAATAGCAAAAACAAAACAAAACAAAAGTATTATACACCAAGTAAATCCAAAGGAAGCACACATGATTGGGCACAAATTATTAACAGCTGTGGTTGTGCAGTGGTTCTGCCATCTGCTAATTCTGCCATCTGACAGCAGTTCAATTCTCATCAGCTCAAGGTTGATTAAGTCTTCCGTCCTTCCGAAGTGGGTAAAATGAGGACTCAGATTGTTGGGGGCAAAATGCAGACTCTGTAAAACTACTTACAGAGGTCTGTAAAGCACTGTGAAGTGGATATAACTATTATTATACTGTAATTGCTATTATATTCTGAACATATTATGCAAATGTAATTTTGGGAAAGGCAGAAGTAAAAAGAATCAGAAGATAAACAGCAACAAAGTGGATGGATTCAATTAAAAGTCCTGGTCAGTGCACAGTTGGAGGATACCTGAAGAGATAGATAACCCTATTGTTCCCAACAATCAACAATTTATTTTAACCCTCCCCACTCCCTAGTTGGGCCACTATTAGGCCCTATGACTAACATGCTTGCCCTGCCAGTTTCTGTTCGATGGAGGCAGGTCCCACCTATTTTCCATCTATCTTCTTGCCTGTTCTATCCATCTGTACGCTGCCTGTATGAACATTGTGGACATCTTATTTCCTTCTGGAGACTTTGGACCTGGCTCTGTTTGTTATCCAGCACGCTGGCTGTATGGAAAATGGCAGCTTACGGGAGGATGAACGGAGCCGGTTTCTATCATTGTTTCACCACCAATGGGATGTACCATCTTCCCCATGGCCAGTTGGCCAACCATCGTGAGAGGCTGGTTGGACGATTACCTCCGAGTTGGTTGGAACATTGGACTCCCCCACTGCCGTGAGAAGACATTGGAGACTCTCCCGTTTATGGTCAACCTGCCTTGTTTCTTTTGGGACATTTTGGACTATCATAGTGGAGCCCTTGGCCATACCTATCACTACCTCAGAGCTTTAGATGTATTTAAGGTCACAGCCTCTTGCCCTGCGAGACTCCCCCCTTTCGCAAGCCTGGCCCTCTGCGTTATCGAGAGCCTACCTCAATGACGGGTCCTGGAACACAGAGAGGTGGCATGCTGCAAAGAGGGGGTTGAAGGTTTTTTTATGTAAATTTTTGGTTAAACTTTTAAGGGTCCCAGGGGGGAGGGTAAAATTGGAACTAGGGTCGTGGGTTTGGGGGATAACCCACTAAGGGGGGGGGTCGGGCCTGGCCACTATGCACGGTGGAGGGGGTGGGGGATCTGGAAGTAATGGGGGGGGTCGAGCTTGTCCAGATTGTGTTTTTACCATTGGTATTGTGAGTGGGAGGGGTAGATATGGCGAGAGCAGGGGGCCATATCATGTTAAGGGAGCATGCACCCGCTGTCTTCGAGCGGTAGCACGCTCCGGCCCCCAAGGCTCCTCTCGTTCTCCAGGTTGCACAGACCCTCGGGGCCCGGGCCTTCGACTGATGTTGTGCAACGCCAGGTCCGTAGTAAATAAAGCCCCCCTCATTTGTGATCTTGTGCAGGAGAGGGGAGCGGACCTGGAGGGTACTACGGAGACCTGGTTGGGCCCGGAGGGAGGGGTCCCTCTGGTAGAAATGTGCCCACCAGGCTTCTAGGCATTCCATCAGCCGAGGTCACAGGGGAGGGGCAGGGGAGTAGTGGTCATTATTAGAGAAGGCCTTAGGCCGAGGGAGGCCACTGTTCCTCAGACGGCCGGTTGTGAGACCCTCCTTGTGAAGTGGGGTCATGGGGTCCAGATGGGTTTGCTGACCACGTACCTGGCTCCCTGCCACGTGGCAGCAGCCCTGCCCCAGCTACTCAACATTATCGCCGCGGTGGCGGTTGATACCCCCGACTTATGGTCATGGGGGATTTTAACCTGCCATCCGTGGGAGAGGCGTCTGAGGTGGCTCGGGTGTTCATGGCTTCCATGACAGCTATGGACCTGACCCAGCTAATTCATGGCCCTACGCACATGGGGGGAAACACACTGGACTTGGTTTTTGTCTCTGGACAGTGGCTGAGTGATCTCGAGATAGGGGATTTAGTCATCGAGCCCTTGTCATGGTCGGATCACTCTCTCCTTCGCCTTGACCTTCAAACCGCTGCACCCTGCCGCAGGGAGGCGGAACCGATAAGATGGTACCATCCCAGGCGCTTGATGGAACCTGATAGGTTCCAGATGGAGCTTGGGCCAATCCCCACGGTTCCGGCTCACGCCTCGACTGGAGACCTAGTGGCCGCCTAGGATAGGGCGGCTGCTGGAGCTCTGGATTAAGTTGTGCCTTTGCGGCCTCTGACCCGGCGCCGATCTCACCTGGCTCCTTGGTTCACCGAGGAGCTGAGGGAGATGACGCGCCGGAAAAGACACCTAGAGAGTAGTTGGAGGTCCAGTCGTGCTGAATCTGACCGGACACTGGTAAGATCTCATATTAAGAATTACCTAGTGGCGATAAAAGCAGCGAAATGCACCCATTTCGCTGCTCTTATTGCGTCATCAGATAATCGCCCGCCGCCCTGTTTAGGGTGACCCTCTCCCTGCTCCACCAGGAAGCGATGGAAGACCCCTTGGAGGGAAGAGCCGAGGATTTTGTTCAGTATCTGTATGACAAAATCACTCAGATTCGGGAAGATCTGGACTCCGACTGGGTAGATCCAGCGGGGATGACGGAGGCAGGTCCTGAGAATGTTATCTGGGATGAGTTTGATCCTGTGACCCTGAGGACGTGGAAAGGAATCTGGGTAGACTGAACGCGACCACATGTTTGTTGGACCCGTGCCTCTCCTGGTTAGTGCTGGCTTCCCGGGAGGTGACGCAAGGCTGGCTCCAGGGGATTATAAATGTTTCATTGGGTGAGGGTGTCTTTCCCACCACCTTGAAAGAGGTGGTGGTGAGACCTCTCCTCAAGAAGCCTTCCCTGGACCCGGCAGTATTGGCTAACTATCGTCCAGTCTCCAACCTTCACTTTGTGGCGAAGGTTGTTGAGAGTGTGGTTGTGCGACAGCTCCCCCAGTACCTGGATGAAACAACGTATCTAGATCCGTTCCAGTCGGGCTTCAGGCCCTGGTACAGCACGGAAACAGCATTGGTCGTGTTGGTGGATGATCTCTGGAGGGCTCGGGACAGGGGGTGCTCCTCTGTCCTGGTCCTGTTAGATCTCTCAGCGGCTTTTGATACCATCGACCATGGTATCATGCTGCACCGGTTGGAAGAATTGGGGGTGGGAGGCACCGTATTACGGTGGTTCTCCTCCTTTCTCTCCGACCGGTCGCAGTCTGTGTTGACAGGGGAGCAGAGGTCGACCCCGAGGCCCCTTATATGTGGGGTGCCACAAGGATCGGTCCTCTCCCCTCTTTTGTTCAACATTTATGTAAAGCCGCTGGGCAAGATCATCCGTGGTTTTGGGGTGGAGTACCATCAGTACGCTGACGACACCCAGCTGTACATCTCCACCCCAGATCACCCCAAAGATGCCCTTGAAGTGATGTCCCGGTGCCTGGAGGCCATACGGATCTGGATGGGGAGAAACAGGCTCAGGCTCAACCCATCCAAGACCGAGTGGCTGTGGTTTCCGACAGCTGGTGCCATCGCTGACTATTGGGGGCGAATCATTGGCCCCCACGCAACTTGGGTGTCCTCCTGGATTCACGGCTGTCTTTAGAAGAGCACTTGACGGCCGTGGCCGGGAGGATTTTTCATCAGGTTCGCCTGATCCGCCAGTTGTGTCCCTTTCTAGATCGGGACTCCTTACGCACGGTCACTCACACCCTCATCACCTCCCGTCTGGACTATTGTAACGCTCTCTACATGGGGCTCCCCTTGAGGAGCACTCGGAGGCTCCAACTGGCGCAGAGTGCGGCCGCGCAGGTGGTGATGGGAGCGACATGGCACTCCCATGTAACACCTCTCCTGCGCGAGCTGCACTGGCTCCCGGTGGTCTTCCGAGTGCGCTTCAAGGTTTTGGTTATCACCTTTAGAGCGCTCCATGGCTTAGGACCTGGTTATTTATGGGACCGCCTGCTACCACCAATAGCCTCCCACCAACCAGTATGCTCCCATAGAGAGGGGCTCCTCCGGGTGCTGTCAGCCAAACAATGTCAACTGGCGGCTCCCAGGGGGAGAGCCTTCTCTGTGGAGGCACCTACTATCTGGAACGAGCTCCCCCCGGAGATACGGAGGATCCCGGATCTGCGTACCTTCCGTCGCGCACTCAAGACTTTCTTGTTTCATCAGGCTGGCCTGTCCTAAGTCTTTCCCCTTTTTAATATGGAAATTTTAAATTTGGTTTTAAAGTATTGGGGTTTTAAATTTGTTCAGCCAAATTATTTAATTCGTTTTATTCTATTTTAAATTTTGTATTTATATTGTTTGATTCTATGGCTGTTCACCGCCCTGAGTCCTTCGGGAGTAGGGCGGTATACAAATTCAATAAAAACTAAAAAACTAAACTAAACTGCATAATGAATTAAGCAGTCAATACAAGGAAACACAATTATACATAAAAATATTTCTGGTGAAAATATAAATCCAAAATACACTTTCTTTACATGCATGTGGCATCTCAAGCAAAAGAATTTCATATTCAGCTATTAATTATGAATATTTTTTTTAAATTTGATTTATATGCCGCCCTTCTCCGGAGACTCAGGGCGGCTTACAATGAGTTAAGCAATAGCCTTCATACTTTGTATATTTATACAAAGTCAGCTTATTGCCCCACAAACTGGGTCCTCATTTTACCTATCTAAGAAAGGATGGAAGGCTGAGTCAACCTTGAGCCTGGTGAGATTCGAACTTACAGTAATTGCAGACAGCTGGTGTTAATCACAATGCTTTTAGTCTGCTGAGCCACCAGGCCCTAATTCAAAACTCAGTCAAACAGTTTGCGCACTGTCTAGATTTGAAGAGAAAACCATAATATGGAGACTTGATAGACAAATTTGACTAGGAAACATTTCTTCAATCAAATATAGCATTAAGGACCAGTCAAGAAGTGCTCTGTGTTCCAAATTACCTGTTGTATTTTTTTCAAATTCAGATCACTGCACATCTTAACTGGTCACTTGGATAAAGTATTTTCATATATAAGAAGTAAATATTATATTGTATTTTGACTAATACAAAAAAAAATGAATTGTATGCTAACCATTTATATTTACCTGAATAATAGCTGCATCAATGCAGATCTGGAGAGCCGTAAATCCATATCGCCAGTAGGTTTCAGCTTCACATAACTTGGATGGATTTGGACAACTGGCTGTAAAAAATTAAAAAAAATTTTTTTTGCTATCTAACTATTCCACATCAACAATAAGCTGATGTTTCTGCCATATAGATGGAAAAAGTTACTTTATCTTCAACTAAGTAGTTACATATTGGCATGAATAAACTGATCTATAATTTCATACTAGGATATAAGATTTCACATAAAATATATGAGGAAAGAAACTGATATTTAACATAGCCTTCTTCCAAACAGGCACTCAGAAAAAAAAACCATAATGAAATTAAAACAAAAATATTAGCAGCATATATTCTTCTTCTTTAAAGTTTACAGTCATCCATAGTTGAAGCTGTACTACAGTATCTTTATTAGTGAAAAATAAAAGATATACATGTAAAGAAAGCATGGGTTCAGCCTGAAACATTTATATCTTCTAAAAGCATATGGAAGGATTAAAAACATAATGCTACAGTATTAGACAATTTTGTTATTTTATATAGTGAAGCATCATATTCTTCAAATCTTCATTTCCAATCAATGGCATAAGCTTAAATCTTTAAATCTTTAGATTGTTTATATAATTAAAACTAAAAACACACATGTTAAGGGTTTGTGAATCTAATTCCAACATTCAATCAGTTTGGGATCATCATTTCAATTCAGCAATTCTAAAGGCTTCAGAAAATCAAGTTAATTTTATCTGATTTTTTATAAACTGATTCAGACAGATCTAATCAAGCCATTTGGTGAATCAAAATGACTTCAGATTAAATATACAGCAGGTATAATCTCCATTTACAGTATATTTGAATGATTACATGCCTTTATGGAAACAAAATAGCTGGAATGTTTTTAAAATACATATGGAATCTATGCATCTTCATAAGTATCTAGAAGTAATTTTGTAAATTGAGTAATAAATTATAAATAGAATTTTAAAAAAGATCACTCCTATTACTGAGAAAAATCAAATATTTATATATACATTTAAATACCTCTTGATTCCATGTGAATTGCAGAAACAGGAACCTTTGTAGGAGGAAATCTGAGTTGATAAGACATAGAATCCTTAAATATTACACCCACAAAGTTTTGGGGACTACGAAATGTAGCCTCTTGCATTTCTTGCTCAGTTAGAAATTCTTCAGTAGTGATTCCTATAAAAGAAAAGTATTTCTTCTAATTATTTTCATCTCCGATTATTTGTACCAATACAAGTGCAAACCTATCTGTAACTGTCTCATTTATTAATCATATTTTTTTTGTTTAAATATAACATTCAACCTAAAGTATATCTGAAGGTATTGATGTCAAATTAAATTTTTAAGTCTCTGTTAAAAATGTGGTTTTTTTTAAATGAATAGAATAACGTATACTTGCAAAATACAGAACTTATTTTGAGAGGATCAGTTTAAGTCTATAGAATAGAATTCTCTGTGCAGGCAGTCCTTCACTTACAACACTTTATTTAGTGACCGTTTGAAGTTACAACAGCACTGAAAAAATGACTTATGACCATTTTTCAGACTTTATGAGCACGGCAGCATCCCCATGGTCAAGTGATCAAAATTCAAACACTTGGCAACTGACTCTTATGACAGTTGCAGGTTCCTGAGGTCATGTGATCACCTTTTGCAATCTTCTGACAAGCAAAGTCAGTTTCACTTTAACAGCAGTGTTACTAAACTTAACAACTGCAGTGATCGTTGAACAACTGTGGCAAGAAAAATTTGTAAAATGGGGTACAATTCACTTAAAAACTCTCTCACTTAGCAACAGAAATTTTGGGCTCAATTGCAGTCATACGTTGACCTATACTAAAAAGCATGGGTTTTCAACACAGACTGCATTATAACAAGATTCTTTCATCATGAGGAACAAAGATATAAGAACCATTCTCCTGGCCAGTGCCCAGTCAGATGAGGTTTAGGTCCATTGGATACATATCCAGTGGTTCTGGTCCTTGCTGTTAGGGGGCATCGATTTGTTTTGTTCACATGGAATTTGCTGGCCCCTAGGTGAAATTTGAATCTGCAGCCTCTGAACGTCTTTTCTATTATCAGACATGTTAGAATACGGCTTTTATTATTTATGTTATGTATTTATCACATTTGTATCCCACTCCAATCAAAACAACTTCAATGGCTCACAAAGAGTATAGGATGATTGATTCATTTGGGACACCAGTAAGAGGCATATAGCTAGAATAAGCTTTAGAAGGAAAACAAAAATAAACAAATGGGTGTTAATATAAAAGAATATTTATATTTATTATGAAATAACAACATGCATGCTATTATATGGAAATAACATGTTTAATCTATTTTTCTAACTGCATCTTCCTAGCAAATACAAGAAAAAATATAAACATTTTTGGGAGAACAGAAGAGTTTGTTTATAATACCTTCTGTAAAATATTCTGCAGACATTTTGTGCATGATTTTTCTCGTCAGATTGTTCACTGGTGTGTAGCCAACAACAAACTCAGAAATACTAGAGTGATCCACAGAATAAAGATCAGAATCAGGCACCTCATCATATTTCTTATTCGGATACATCATGCTCAATAATATTAGCCAGAATAAAAAGAAAAGTGGAAGCAGTATTTCCTGCACAAATAAAATCAACAAGTTAAAATGGGTAACTCTCAGAAACAACCACTTATAGCTGTTTATAATACTCACTTATAATACAGAGTGTCTTCTTAAAAATCTGTTATTTCAGTATTTAAACATTACATATCTAGATATTTGTATAGCATTCACTAATCCTGCCTACTATTCTCCATGTGATGAGAGAGAAGCTTTCTCTGAATAACATAAATCTAGACTTTTTCAAAATCTAGAGCTGAAGATGGGACAGAGTTAATTTCCACTCTCTTGCAGGATGGGATTTGATATAACTGGCACTTACTGGGCACTAGTACAGAGGCTCAGAGATAACATCTACACTCTGGCAACAACAACTTTTGATTGGCCAGTAGAGCAGGCAAAGTTTGCTAAATTAGTATACTTACAAAATTAAAATAGAACATGAGGTCATCTAATGTTGAAAAGATGTACAAACCACAGTTTGATGCCCTGCTTATAGTCTTAGCATTCATATTTTCCCTGGCAAATATGAATGTTTGGTAGAACAGATAATTAATAATTAAACAAGAATAAGCACATGTGAAAACTTCACACATATAGCTATTTCAGTATGGTCATAAGGCTAAAACTAATATGAATATAACATTTCAGCATGCATTATTCAGTCACAATTACATACTTGACCCCAGGAAATGAACAACTGTCCCAGTGTCTAAGTGCAATATTGCTGAAAGAGGAGCTTAATTTTCATTTTTAAACATCCCTAACACAAAACTGGAGTTACAATCCATGCCTTGTGCCCAACAAAAATGGATATGCTTAATCTAATAAAGCAAAATGATATTCTTTACATTCCAGTATATGTATCAGTATCATAATCTGTTTTTATTTTTTATTCTAACAGAAATGAAGAGAGAGAAAGCCCTTGGTCCACATGATTAATCCAGTAGAATTCCATAACATACAGTATATATTGAGATTTTTATTCTCATATTGCTGGGATATATATATATATAAATGTTTTGAATGATATTTGAATGCTACCCTCTTTTTTTGTGAAGCTCACGTAAGTGAAGCCTGGAAAAAATCCTGTAGAAAGGTATAAGCAAATCATTGATTTCTTTAAATCTTGCTTGTAGTTCTGGCATTCAGAAACATAATATATTACCTACAATAATTCATTCTGTACAATTTGGCTTTATAAAAGACTAAGCCTTTTATTAAAGAATAAGCTTAAGATAATAATAGACTGCTGATTAATATTTTAAAAGTAAAATCAGAGAAACTGCGTAGTAGTTGTTTCACTGGATGTAGAAAAAGCATCTCACTTAACAAATGCTTCGCTCAATGCCCAAGATTCCTGTCCCAACTATAGTCGTAAATTGAAGATTACCTGTACAAATATTGAAATTGCCAAACTAAAGCATTATCCTTAATAAGATCATTTAATGACATACAGTAGAAGCCTAGGAATAATTCTGATGTAATAATTTTAAATAGAGCTCAAATCAATGAACTAATTGATTTATTTATTTAGGTACCGTAATTTATATCACTGCCCACCTCACAAACAAGTGACTCTGGACAGTATAATTAAAACTAAAATAAATATATAAAACTATTATCATTAACAATTATTTAAAAACATTCGAAAGATTAATCTTTTAACTTCTTCAAACCTTAGAAAATTGCAGATCAACTGACCTGAACACTACTCTTCTTGGTTCTCCATTTAACTAAGCAATTCTTATAAAAAAGTGCTCTTGTTTGTCGCCACACTCCTTTTTGTCTTGAATCATCTGTAGACATTTTTGCATCTGAAAAGCAAAACAATTATTATTATTATTTATTATTATTATTTATTATTATTATTATTATTATTATTTATTCAATTTATATACCGCCCTTCTCCTAGTGGACTCAGGGCGGTGCACAGCCAAAACTAAAATACGTAACAATACAAAATTTAAAATTAATTAAAAGAATTATATACTTTGGCCCGAATTAAAACAGTGCGAATTAAAACCCATTAACAAATTAAAACTAAACAATTAATAACCATTAAAAACTAAAAAAGGGGGGCGGGGTTCACGCCAGCCCTGCCCCCCCCCCATGCCCATCTGAGCCACACGATCATCAGAGGCTTTTTTTTTACTTTTAAAAGCATTTTTTCTACAACCTCTTCCGAAGGAAAAAATGCTTTTAAAAGTAAAAAAAAAAAAAAAAAAAATCGTGTGGCTCAGAGGGGCATGGGGGGGGGATTTTTGCTACTGGTTCTCCGAACCACCCGCCGCCATCGCTACCGGATCGGGCAATCCGGTCCGAACTGGGAGCATTTCACCCTTGGGATAGGCTGATGGTTGTCATGCTGTTAGGAAATCAAAGTTCTAAGAAAAGGAATTTTTGCTGGAACCTACTTTCTACTAGCAATATGTCTGAATGCTCTTCAACTTTTCCTTTGTCCTCCCTCTTTCAGGTGGTATATTTCACAGCAACATTCCCATACCTGGTGCTGACAATCTTATTTGTGCGGGGAATCACTCTTGAAGGTGCAGTTAGTGGCATCACATACTATCTGACACCACAGTGGGACAAAATCCTTGATGCAAAGGTATTTAGTTGGGATATCATAGAGGGGTTCGTAAGCTGTGCAGGCCAGAGCCATAACTCAGCCACCTCCCTCTAATTTGAAACTACAAGGGCAACTCTGTTTCCTCAGTGACATCTTTTATCTTTGATAGGTATGGGGAGATGCTGCCTCTCAGATCTTCTATTCACTGGGCTGTGCCTGGGGTGGGCTTATCACCATGGCATCATATAACAAGTTTCACAACAATTGCTACAGGTACGATGTTTGATAGTCATGATGGGGAAAGGATGTACAAAGATTTTTTTGGTGATATATAGTAGTTCATATGTCTAAAAAAATAATCTGCATGAAAAATAGTGCAGGGATGCTAGAATCCTTGTCTCTCCCATTGTGGAGGAACTTGATTTTAAACAATGCCTGGTTTTTGAGCTTTTCTTTGAAAAGTAAACAAAAGTTTACTTTTGTCTTAAAGCAGTGTTTCTCAACCTTGGTAGCTTGAAGATGGGTGGACTTCAACTCCCAGAATCCCCCAGCCAGCAGCACTGGCTGGGGGATTCTGAGAGTTGAAGTCCACCCATCTTCAAGCTTCCAAGGTTGAGAAACACTGTCTTAAAGCATGAAGTGGAGCAGTCTCAGAATGCAGATTAATTATGAACATGACCCAAGTTCACATAATGCTTTGTATTAATTCGGCAAATTGAAATAGAAGTTGTATTTTCTTTGTTCTTTGTAATTAAATAATTTTGCCTTCTTTTATCTAAGGCTCTCAGAACTGCAGGTGGCTTTCATAAGATTACCTTTAGAAAGAACAAGTTATATTTTATCAGATGGGTTTATATCCCACCCTTTTACCAACAAATGGTGCTCAAGATGGCTGCAAGAATTAAAATATGCAGTCTTCTCGAATTAACTAAAACATACCATATTTTCTGGTGTATAAGACGACTTTTTTTAACACATGAAAATCTTCTCAAAAGTCGGGGGTCGTCTTATACGCTGGATGTCGTTCTCCTGTAACCAGGCAGACCAGCCCGAAAGGCTCTGACAAGCCTTAAATGGCTCTGGTGATCCAAGCTCTGACGATCCCAGCTTTGCCTGCTAATCAGGCAACTCAGCTAGGATCGCCAGAGCCATGTAAAAGGAAAAAGTTTTTTCCTTTTACATGGCTCTGGCAATCCAAACTCTGACGATCCCAGCTGCGTTGCCTGCTAATCAGGCAACGCAGCTGGGATCGCCAGAGCCATGTAAAAGGAAAAAAGTTTTCCCCCTCCAGCTTGCTTACCTTAGCTGCTAGTCGCAACGCTTGCCTTGCTTCACTTGCCTGAATCCATTCCATCAGCAAGCCACTCACTGCCTGCAATCAAGCAGGCAGGGAGTTGTGGACTTCAACTCCCAGAATTCCTCAGCCAGCAAAACAAAGCTGGCTGAGGAATTCTGGGAGTTGAAGTCTACAAGTCTTAAAGTTGCCAAGGTTGGAGATCCCTGTTCTATTGGGTAAGTTTTTTTCCCCTTTGGGAGCTTTAAAAAAAAAGTTAATTGGGTTTTTTTTTTTAGTTGTTCTTTTTTAGACCTCGCCATTTAAAGTTTAGAAAGTTTTAAATTTAGCTTTCATATAAAAATTAAAATAAAATAAAATAAAATAATATTTGTGCAGCTTTCTGAGATTTAGTGTGTTTCTGTAGTGTTTCACTCTAACTACACAAACACACAAAATCTCACAAAGCTGTATGTGGAATTTTGTGTGTGTAAAGTGTGAAAGTTGTTTTTTGGGGCTTTTTGGGGCTGTGTGAGGTTCCTGCTTGTTGCAGGGGCCATTTTGGGTCTAGCACAGCTACTTTTACATTGTGGGTGAGCCAGTTGATGTTTTTTAATTTTTATTTGGAAGAGGGGTAGTCTTATACGGCGAGTATAGCCCAAACCCTATATTTTAACAGGAAAAGTCGGGGGTCATATTATACACCCAGTTATCTTATACATCGGAAAATACAGTAGTTAAATACAAATAAAATATAACAATAAAAATAAACCTCTCCCCTAATTTAGTATCTAAATGCACTTGCACGTCATACATGAGAGCCCATTCTCTAGATGCAGATCTTTTGGCTTCCTTCAGGATGCTCACCTTCAACTGCAGTTTTCATGAGCTCTCCCAACTTGGTGTATCTACAGAGACAGCATCATCATCAGCATCACCAACTGTGCTACCAGTGTCTACGCAGGTTTCGTCATCTTCTCTATCCTCGGCTTCATGGCTCATCACCTGGGAGTGGATGTTTCCAAGGTGGCCGACCAAGGTCCTGGCTTGGCATTTGTGGCCTATCCTGAGGCATTGACACTCCTCCCCGTTTCCCCTTTTTGGTCTGTTCTCTTCTTCTTCATGCTCATCCTGCTGGGGCTGGGTACACAGGTAAACACAGCTATTTGCAGCTCATGCTTTGGGGGAATTCTAGGGCCCAACATGTCTGAAAGTTACAATTCCAGAGAAAGCTAAACTAGCTAATAAACATAAATGGAAAATAGTGTGCATCTATTATATGTGTGAATGTGCGTTTGTTAAAATGCAAATCACCTCTGTGTATATACACATAAACACATACCCCACACTTGATTCATCTAGTTTGAAGGAAAGATGAAGACTTAATGGTGCTTGGAAATCATGGGAAATGGAAAATGATTATTCTGATTCTGAATGACTATCATTCCAAATTCCTTTATGGCAAACTGAATCATAATGAAGCTGTATCCTGGTGCTTTCTAGATGGAATACAAGCTCCCATTATATTTAAGATGTATAATCAATTCTCATGCCGACTTAGAATGATGGGATTTGTAGTCATACACATCTGGACTACACCCACCTGGGGAAGGTGGCAGGTTAAGGCACTGAACTTAACTATTAGCACTAGATTCTCCTCCCAAATAAAGTATATTTGCCCCAAGTGCTGATTCACTTAAGAAGCACTGCTGATCTCCAACCTTTACATTAATCAAAACTGATGCACAGGTAGTCCTTGGCTTATACCCACAGTTGAGCCCAATTTTTTTGTTGCTAAGTGAGACCGTTGTTAAATGACTTTTGCCCAATTTTACAACTTCTTGCCACAGTTGTTAAGTGAATCAGTGCTGTGGTTAAGTTAGTAACATGGGTTGTTAAGTGAATCTGGCTTCCCCATTGATTTTGCTTACGAGAAGGTTGACTCTGCGACACCGCAACCATCATAAATATGAACTGGTTGCCAAGCATCCAAATTTTGATCACATAACCATTGGGATGCTGCAACGGTCGTAAGTGTGAAAAATGGTCATAAATCACTTTTCTCAATACTGTTGTACCTTCGAATGGTTACTAAACGAATGGTTGTAAGTTGAGGACTACCTGTAGTTGGAGAGAGAACGAGTAATTTTACTGTTGCTAAATGAAGGAAGACAGAGAGAGCAAAACCTCCATGGCATGTATGTTGAACTTGTATTTTTCCTTCTTCCTTGTTTTCCTCAGTTCTGTCTCCTGGAAACTCTTGTCACAGCCATTGTGGATGAAGTGGGAAATGAATGGATATTGCGTCGGAAGACTTTTGTGACTCTAGGTGTGGCTGTGGTGGGCTTTCTGCTAGGTATCCCACTCACCACACAGGTATGAGGGAGAGTTAAAGGGCAAGGCAGAAATAGCCCATTCTCATTCTAAGGGGCTTGCTTAATCCAGTACTTATTTTCTTCTTTTGTTTCTCCTCTAGGCTGGTATTTATTGGTTATCGTTGATGGACAATTACGCAGCAAGTTTCTCACTTGTGGTTATTTCATGCATCATGTGTGTTGCCATTATGTATGTCTATGGTGAGTAACTTCTGCCAATTGCATGGATTAATTGGAACAATTCAAGAATATAGGAATGGCTGCAATACTGATGTTCCAGTTAGCACTTGATCAATACAGCCAGAACTCCCCTGTGGGCCTGACGGCCACTATAACTATAACTATATTATATAGATTCAAGAGTAGAAAATGGTGCTTTCCCTGACTACAGTTTCCTGACCTTGGAGCCTGGAGTAAGAAACAGAAAGGGAAAAGTTGCAATCAGGAATTTTTGTTCAATTCTTTCTTATGAAGAGTCCATAACTCAAATGCAGACTGGACTAATATCCAATCACAACAATTCAAAGGATATTAAAGTTTACTTGGATGTTGTCAGTATTTGGTTTCATTGGACACATTTCGCTCGCAGCTCAGAAGACTGCGGATCCAAGGTGCAGATCTGATTACTTGCTCCCCAACTAAAAAGAGTTCGTAGTTAAAGAAACAGATTACAGCAGCAGGTTTAGTACAGAAATCTGGCATCCTCGGGCAAGTTTCAGGAGCATAAGGCTAGTATTCTAGGGAATCAGGTCATTGTGATGTCTCCTAACCACCTTCCAATCATTGCTGTTGCTATCACATTTACGACATTATACTGAGGGAACCATTTGTCCTAAGAGGGGGTGCCCCAAAGGATATTTTGCCCAGTGTTCTCTGGACTGGACATTAACCCTTTCAGGCACTCTGCCAGTAGGCAATGAGACCCTGCTTCAAGTCTCTTCATTGAAGAGACTTTATTTTGTGCTGTGCTTTCCCTCTCAGGAGTTGTGATAGAGGTAGGGAGCAGAGCAAAGGAGCCCTACTGAGGAACAGGGAGAGAAACACAATGAAGAAATATATTCTGTGGAGTCTTGCAGTATTCCTAGTGTCTAATTATAATACCTCCAGTCTAATTGACTGACCATCTTCTCATCCAGGTTACCGGAGCTATTTCAAGGACATTGAGATGATGCTTGGTTTTCCACCACCCATATTTTTCCAGATCTGTTGGAGGTTCATCTCTCCAGTTATCATCTTTGTGAGTACAAAGAAGGGGGGGGGGACACAGAAAAACATAGGAGACAGGATTGGGAGTGAGGGAAAAGGGGACTGGGTGACTTAACAACATAATCAGGATGGAATAAAGACTAGACTGCTTTTGTGACAAAAACACAGTGATAAGCAAGGGGGAGAGAAGGCCATAGGTTTTCTACTTCCCATGATAAAAACATCCATGTCTGAGAAATTAAGAGAGCTTTTGAAGGTTCCCAGAATGCAAGACTAGGAATGATGCCAGGCAGAATACATTTTGGTTTCAATCTGCCTTTCCCCTCTCTCCTTCCAGTTTATCCTCATATTCACAGTGATTCAGTATGAACCAATCACATACAACACATATGTGTACCCGCCCTGGGCCATCGGCATTGGTTTCTGTATGGCACTCTCATCGGTCATCTGCATCCCCATCTATGCAGGCTACTACATTTTGCGCTCAGAAGGAGACACGCTACTGCAGGTAGGGCTGGGGCTTGCAGGCAACTGGGTAAAGATGCTGCTACTTTCTGGACATTACGGGTGTACTTGCCTCAGATCCCACTGCAAACCAGGTCTTGAAACCACCAACTCCTTGTTTGCCTTTTGTATCTCTGCAGCGTTTGAAAAATGCTACTCGGCCAAGCCGGGAGTGGGGCCCAGCGCTTGTTGAGCACAAGACCGGCCGCTACGCAACAGCATTCAGCTCAACAGAATCCCAGCTGGAGGTGCAGCTGCTGAACCCTGAGAAACCCAAAAGCGATGAGGCTGGCATGATGGCTGCCATCACCATCGGAAGCAATGGCTCAACCCACAGCCAAGACTCAACGATGTGAACCTTAGCCTGGGAGGCAGGGCAGGGAGCACTCCTTGCATCAATCCATTCCCACCTGTCCTGGTTCTCTAAACCCTACTCTGCTCAGATATACTAAAGTACCCCCACTGGGTGGGGGACCCCTGGCTCCCAGGCTGTGCTGGACTCTGGGGGAGGGGGCTATGAGTTCCCATCCCACCCACCTCATTAGTGTCCCTGTGCCATCTTGTAACCCTTATGTTTACAAGTAATGCTCAGATGGCCCCAATTCACAGCCAGGACCAGGATCAGAGACAGAGATGTGTGCACTGGCTAACTAGGCGGGGTTTCTTTGAGAGGTACCAGTAGAAAGGTTGGTTAATGTCTTAGAAGCTTAGAAATCCCTTCAGGATGGTTTCTGGCAGCTACTCCTGGGTCCAGCGAATCTAGAATCTATTGGGGACAATATGGTCCTCACTGCCCTGGATCAGGGCTATTTAGCTGGCCCCACAAGGAAACTAATGGGAGTGCTGGGGGTCAGTAGTGGTTTCAAATTTGAGCTGATATTCTAGGCAAAGTTCAGTCTAGAGCTAGACAACCTTCAGCTAGACTACTGCCTTTATGAGCACTCTTGCACACATGCATGGAAAACTGCACACTACCCATCAGTATCTATACCTTCCCAGCTTTCCCACTTGTCTAGTATTTTATGAAAAGTGGGGTAGCCTTTTCAGGACTGTAAAGTTCCAATGATGGTTCCAAGATCTTAAGAAAATTCCAGAAATCTCTCATAATTGGTAGGGAGGATCTAGCCTTATTTGTCTAACTGTCCATAATTTTCTCATGTGTACACATACACACACACACATCCTTTCACATAGTTAATAGAGACACTATGTGACTGATTCAAATCTAGGAAAGTCCCACACTTGTGGGAAACTCCTGTAAGCTGCTGCTACACTGTGTAGAGGTGGTGGAGCAAAGTATTGAACTGAATTATGCAGACGCTTGTACTTGAGTTCTGAGGAATGGAGCCTCTGAAGCCATTGTTTATTCTCTTCCCCTACAGAGGAGCAAATGAATTTGAATAGGGTCCCTCTACTTGCAAGGGGCCCTTGGGACCTAGCCCTGCCCCAGTCTCTAGGGAAAGGAGCAGAGCCAACCATGGTGCTAAGAGTAGATGATGTGCCAAGACCAACCCTTGCAACTTGAGTGAAGCACAAAGGTCAGAAAGCATGATCTTCCACGAAAGCTATTCCTGGTTAGCCCTGGACCGCCACTTCCCAATGGGGATGGAAGCCTCTATTCCCATGCTGCAGTCATGAAGAAGTTGGCCAGAAGCACCAGTATCTCATGGCAGGACGATCTCTTTGTAGCACAAGCCAGGTCTTACACTGGCTCAAATGGTGAGGGATAACTAAATGGTTGTGTCTTCCTGCCTCATTGCCCCATATTTTCGTTTCAGCATTGCTGCCTGCACTTTATCCTGAGCAAGGCCTTGGAGGAGGTCCTGACAGCCACTCCCTTGCCCTTTATCCTGTGGCAGCAATGATACCAGGACACCAGTGCCAAACTTTTTTGTAGGGATACCAATGCCAAACTTCTTATAAGGGGCATCCCTCAGCTCCCAGGAATGCACAATTGCTACAATGCCAACAGCAAGGGCACATCTGGTCCCTACCCACTGCCCCAGCCGGTGACGTGGGCAAAATGGCCAGTGTTTTAAGTGCCAAATGTCTGCATCATGCACAGATGATAGGGAGGATAGATGGCTTCATGTCATGATGGCATTTTTACCTTAAGCCGCCAGCATCCAATCCTTTCCCTCCTCTGTACTGAAAATGCACTATTTAATGCATGGTTTCATGTCTGTCCTTCCCTCTCCTACAGAGTGTGGCAACTGCCACTGCCACCTCTCATTGTTCATAGCAATAATTGTACGAGTCTCCCATACTGTGACTCTCCCAGTTGTAGATTGTTAAAGTCTCATAGATTTTAATGAAATTTATATTCCTGAACTCAGGATGTACAGTTCTTTTTGTGGGATCGGAAGGGCGATTTGAGGAGCCATAACTTTTCTTTAATGTTATAATGGAATTATTGTATTGACTAATGGAGAGGAGGAGGAGAAAGGATCCCAGGGGGCACTGCTGCACTCCCAGGACACTTATCTGTACAGAAGAAGGGGTATTTAGCATGGCCTTGTTACTTTCTTTGGAATCCATGAATTTGAAAATAAGAATGAGCAAAGACAGCAATAGCCAACATTAAGCCCATTTCAAGCATAGGGGACAGCAGCATACAGTTTCAATGGGCACTGTTGCTACAGAGCAAGGGGTGAGATGTCAAGAGGAAGAGGAAGTTCTATTTTTCTTAGCTTGGTCCTTTACACTGCAATAATCTAATACGGGGACAAAAGCGAGACGGTGGACAAGGTTCTGTAGGAGGCATGGGAAGAAAAGCAGGTTCCCAGGCTGATGCTGATGCTGATGCTGATCTATATACTGAAGCAGTTGGATGTCCTAATGTTGTAGGCAACTTAGTGTCACTGTCCTTCCTTGCCTGGTTGGAATCCTCACTCTTCTGATGCATCCATCCCAAAGGGGTTCTTGTCGAATGGCTCCATCGGGATGATGGCCGATAGCAGAGTAGAGAAATCTGATCCCTGGGATCTGGTGAAGGAATCTCATTAGAAGCAGGATTGATCTGTCCAAATCCTGGCCCTTTCACTAAGCCTCTTGGATGGCTGTGAAATAAAGAGAAGGAGTTGTGTGATACAAAAGGTTTTATTTAAGCATCTTCCCATCAAAAGTAACAAAATTACAGAAATTTGAGTCATTGCAGAAGAGTTTATGGATCTCCAAACTCCACTAAAGTGGACTGAACAAATTCCAAAAATGTTACTTCAAAATTCTGGAGATAGAGTAATAATAAATCAAGGCTGAATTAAGTTTCTCACTTTCTCCTGTAAGGCTTTTGCTCTTTCCACCTCTTCTTAGTATTGTAGCTTGCAAGCATTTTCATACTACCTGAGCTGAGACAAATGGGTGCTGTTCCCAAGCTGGTTTGACATCAGGGAAGGAGGCCTAGGACATGACTTGGGCAGGCTCAATTGCAAATCCCGCTCCATGACACGTTTCTCTTCCTGTAGTTCTGTGGACAGAAGATTACTTCAAGATGGAGAAGAAACAAGCCCAGGAACAACATAGTTAGGGGACTAGTACTTAGAAATAAACTGCCCAATTATTTATACTGTCTATACTAGAAAAACCCTCTTTTCCAATCCCCAGTCTAATTCTAAATAAAGGCATGAGATGAGAATTTTGCATACCAGCCATGGTGGGTTCATGCATTTTGTCTTGCAGCTCAGTAGCATGCTGATGCACTTCCTCTAGTTGGTTCTATAAAGGAAAAGAAGCTGAAATGTCAAAGTCATGCTCCTTTGTAAATCCCCAGAGGAATACCTGTCTTTCCCAAAAGAGTTTATGCATTGATAGCTCTGTACACAGAAGTTTCATTCCCCCCACCCCTTCTTACATGCCCCTATCACTACAGAAAGCTATTTTAGATGAGCAATACACACCTAGTCCCTTCGGTCAAAGAGATTACGTTTCCTTTTCCCTGGAAAATAGCCTGTGTTAACCTTCTGCATTCCTATGTCATTGTTGCAATATTACCCAGAATACCTGTGCAAAGAGCACAGAGCAAAGTTGGTTCAGGAGAGCAGAGACAAACAGTAGGGGGTAGTGTTGTAGCAACTTTGCATCCAAAGCAATGGCATTTGCACACCAAAAATGCCATTGACCTCTCCTACTCTGCATCTCTCAGCCCTCATCCATCACCACCTTCAGATCAGAAAAGATGAGATGAACGGCAGCTAAGTTCGTTACAAAGCTGAGATAAAAGTCAAACATATCTTCATTAAATAATACTCCCTCCTTGAAAAACCTAAGTGCTGTAGCCATAGGACTGAGTACTTCATAGTATAAGCTCCCAAATCAGAGAGGATCACTGGACCACTTTGGATATTCTAAATGAAGAGCAAGTTGAGAGTGAAGTTTAACTACACCGGTGTACAAAGCAGCCTCATAGACCCATGACCAAAATATGAATTGGACTTTTAGACGTGCAAGAGTCTAGAAGTCCTTACCTGTAAATGTGTAATGTATCTTTCCAGAGCATGGCATTCATCCTCTAGCAAAGTCCTAGATAAAAATGTCAATAAAGAGCGACAGAATGTGAGATTTGGGAGAAAGTAAGCAATCGCCAACTGCAAATATTGAGTGTGAGACTTCCACAGGTTCCTCCAATTTTTGTTTCTTTCCCATTATAGAAGCTAGCTTCAAAACTGAATTAGAAGACCGGACGTCAGCTACTTTTTTACAGTAGGAAATCAGTGTATGTGAAATCCAAGTTAGGGAGGTGCCTAACTAAAGCTCTCAATAAGAAAATTCACAAGCACTCCTAACTGTAATAGGGTCTGTTCCCTCTGTTAGCATTCTGGTTCAAAATTTCCCAAACTCCTGAGCAGTAAACTGTTTCTTGCTGGATTCTTTGCAACTTAGGACCCCTTTCGTTTCTATATCCACTTCCTAGAACTCATAGTACTGTATACTGTTTAGTGAAGTGTCAGCTTCGTGGTCCTTTTTCCTGAAATTCACGTTTTTGCATCCCATAATGCAATGAGACAGGTTGCCCATTCTGCCTCTTCAAAGAGGGAAAGAAATGGAAGTTCGGGTACATTCAGGCCAAGATTTCAAGGCAGAAGCTAACACAATGCCGTGAGGAGCAAGTGTAGTAGGGCTGTTTCACTAAGATTTCCCAGTTTAAAAGTTCTTATTGAATTGGTGCTCAAAAACTCTTCTGCAACAATTGATCCATTCACTACATTCACACAAAAGAAAACATACAACACACATGTGCAGGCAGAGGAAATCAGAATGAGATGCTTGCAGATCTCCCTGTTCTTGTTTTCATAAGTATGATGCAGGTTATTCTATAGGGAGCAGAGGAAGAAATTCTGAATACAAATTGTTGGGCTCATTGGCATGTATTTTTATGCTCCACTGCCCCAAGCACTCCTCTTTCTGATGAGCCATTCCATTATTTACCATATTTACCATTGGAAATTACAAGTCCTTTTACACTCCTTGCTTCTAATAACTGTTCATAGAAGAAAAATATAAAGCAAAAAGGAGGTGTGCAAACTTGCCTAAGTCTAGAGGTTATCTCGCCGATCTGAGCTATATTCAGTTTATCAGAATATGGTTCCAAATCATTTGTGGTGCTACAGGACAATGACCTAAGAAAACAGAAACGGGATTAATACAAATGTCATACAGTTTAAGAAAGACCAGCTTTTCCTTCAGCCAGGCAAGATTCCAAGTCCACAATTAGGCATTCTGGCACGAAGCAACTCGGATCAGGAATGGGAAGCAGAATTTGGATGGAGTTGTTAGTAACTTTCATTGCATATCTGTAAATGTCCTGAACTCCCTCTCCTCTATGGAGATTACAGAGCAGTGGTTGACCCGCCTAACACAGCATGCATTTCAGTTCCAGCAGTAGATGAACAAGGCCATTCATGACCAGTTTTTGTACCAATATCCAAACTCCAAAAAACTACAGTTACCAGCAGGTCAAAATATTGGACCTAGGCAAACATCCCTTATATGTCGATACATACTTAGGTACTATTAATTAAATCTTAATTATATTTATCAAAAATAAGTCTAATGGAACATTTATTTGTCTGTGTCTCCGTCCTTCTTTCCTCTCCCATATCATATAAACATGACTAGGAAGAAAATGAAAAAAATACAATGTACAAAATAATATATCTATGCCCTCCCCCCAAAGAATCTAAAAAAGGGGGAAAAAACAGATGTATATATGAGTTAACACATTACAATAGATATGTAATATACAAGGCAGCTGAATAAAGTTTACTTTTGAGTCTTACCTGATGAGATTGTTGCTCCCAGATGATGGCCGATTACTTCCAACATTTGTCTTGAAAGCGAAGTTGATTACATGTGTGTTGTATTTAGCAATGGCACAGTCGTGGTCCCTGCAATAAGAAGCAGACATGAGACGAGAACCTAGCCTCAGGCTTCTAATTAATAGAGTCATGAGTAGGCCACCCATCTCTTACATTCAAGGACTGAAGCCATAAACCTGTTGGAATATGAAATGAAAATCCTCTAGGTGAACATCCTTAGACTAAAAGAAAAAGCAAGTTTGACCAAAAGGCTCTTCTTTACCCCTATCGACAGTATGAAAAGAACCATGGCTTAAACCCACTTAATCATGTGAATGATTAACAATAGCACTTAGACTTATATACCACTTCATGGTGCTTTACAGCCCACTCTAAGTGGTTTACAGAATCAGCATATTGCCCCCAACAATCTAGGTCCTCATTTTACCGACCTCGGAAGGATGGAAGGCTGAGCTGGTCAGGATCAAACTCCTGGCAGTGGGCAGAGTCAGCCTGTAATACTTCCTTTTAACCACTGTACCATCATGGCTAAAGGTAATGTGAGAGGAACTCTTCTAACCAAACTACACAAGGCTGGGCCCGAGAGACAGCAAGGACTAAAGAATAGAATAGAATAGAACAGAACAGAACAGAACAGAATAGAAGAATAGAATAGAATAGAATAGAATAGAACAGAACAGAACAGAACAGAACAGAACAGAACAGAACAGAACAGAATAGAATTCTTTATTGGCCAAGTGTGATTGGACACACAAGGAATTTGTCTTTGGTGCATATGCTCTCAGTGTACATAAAGAAAAAATAAAATATATTCGTCAAGAATCATAAGATACAACACTTAGTGATAGTCATAGGATACTAATAAACAATCAAATCATACTAGGAAACAATAAAAACAATATAAGTTGTGCAGATACAATAAATAATGAAGAAAACCCTGAAGGGATAATAAAACAAACGTGCTTCCAGTGTGTAACTGAAATATTGGGAGAAAAATATTTTCCTTGCTGTCCAGTCCATTCTAATTGTCCTCAGTGCCCTTTCTGTTATTTATACAGCAAGAAAGTAAGAGGCAAATATCTGCTAAGAGTCCCTTTGCTGAGGTTGATCCCGGTTCTCATTCAGCTTAATCCCTCTTTTGAATTTGGAGAGGGAGGGGACATAATCCCGGCTTCAGTATATGGATCGTGGATCATACACACTAGAGAAACAAAAGAGCTGAATGTTGGAGTTGTGCTGTTGTGAGATGTCTGCATACATGGAGGGGGGAGCGGGGAGACAGAAGTGAGGTGTAAATTCTATGCATCAGGAAATGCTAGTACAGTGTTTCTCAACCTTGGTAGCTTGAAGATGGGTGGACTTCAACTCCCAGAATCCCCCATCCAGCAGCACTGGCTGGGGGATTTTGGGAGTTGAAGTCCACCCATCTTCAAGCTACCAAGGTTGAGAAACACTGGCCTAGTAGAACTAGGGGGGAAATTTCTTTATTTCCCCCCATCATCACTACAAAAGAAGTGGGAAATAACACCTTTCTTGCCCGTAAAGTTTGAAAGTATAATTTCTGGGGAATTTGAATCACAAGGAATTTGGAAGTTTTATATAGCCTGGTCCACAGGCTCTTGAGTTAAAAGATTTACAGCTTCTTTCTTTCTACAAAGACTGCAGACTTTAATTTATAGTTCGGCTTGCAATATTTTAGAACTTGTGAACAGGTTGTTAGACCTTCACTGTGAAGCATTTCATTTTCACCAGTACCTGCCCTCCTGCAAAGCCTTTTGCTGCAAGCCAACCAGGAGTAGGCGAATCTCCTCTCTTACTAGTTCTTTCCGGTGGGGAGGAGCAGCCAGCAAGATGCAATTATCAGGTCTTTGCTCAAAATGGTCCAACTGCAGCTCTTGATAGAATTCCAAGAGAGTCTTTACCTGTAAAGAGGAAGGAAGCTTGACTGTGTGCATTGGACATACCCCAAAATATTTAGAGTTGCATGATACAAATCCCAAGAAGGTCACTTGTTAATCTTGCCATGCCCTTCCATCACGTGCCCAAATAATGAGAAATAGTTACACACCTGAAGACTAGTTGTAGCATTCCTGCTACATTCCAGATGCTTCTTTGTTCAAAGATTCATAAGCTAAATTGAGCAAGATAATAACATCATGCAGAAACTTCCTTTTCTTTGAAAGATTAAGTCATAATGTAGCCTGGATAATCTTCACAAATGAAGGCAAATATATGCATCCCAAGATAATGTTGCAAGATCAAATCTGGGTTGTGGTTCAGATTCAGTCTTGAATAATCTTCAATACAATGGTACAAACCTACGTGTTAGGTAGGCTGCAAAATTGATAAAAATGATTGTGGAGGTTCTGGAAATATCTGATACATTTCCAAAATGTCAAAATCAATCATTTATGTGATATCCTACTTTTTCTTCACAACCTCAAAGCAGTGCTCTCTCCTCCTATATTTCCCACAATAATCCAGTGAGGTTGGGTGGCCTAAAATGCAGTGATTGGTTCAAAGTCACCTAGGAACTTTTGTGGCTGATGATGGATTTAAATCCTAGGACCAGCTCAATGTCTTAATTAGCAAATAAAAGTGACTCAAAATTTTCTAGCAAGTTTCCTTAGTGTGCTATCACTTTGTACCACTCCTCTCTAAACGTGTACATCCAGCTACGTTTGGCCACAGCTCATGGTGGCTATCATTTGTCTCAAAATAATAACTGTTGCCCATCCTATCTTAGGAGATATCACAAAGGGGAAGACTGCAATAGGTATTTTATCTTGCTTGTCCTTCCCTATTATTTCTCTTTGTGTGAGCTACCTTCTATAATCATTGCTTCCTCATCTCATTTGTGCTACTCATCATCTCACTTGGCTATTTCTTGTATCTTTTCACCCTTCTTTTCTATATGCTCTCTCATATGCCCCCATACTCTACTTCCTTTACTTGTATCAATTTCAAAACACAGACACAGAAACAATTCATTTTCTATGAATCTTCTGAACTTCAAAAAAGAAAAACATCTTGCTCATAAAACAGAGATCTATGGATTGAAAACATATGCCAAGAAAAAAAATATCCCTTAAGATAGCAGCAGCATATGAAAAGAGGAAATTAATTTAAAAGAAAAATGTTTTAAAAAGCAAAAACTAAAGACAAAAGTGAGGGAACAAAAGCAGATGCAACTACAAGACTTAGCACACTTAGCACACCTCTGTGCATTGCATTTTTTGGCAGTTCCAGGCAGCAGGAATCACCGCTGCCAATCCCCACTGCCTGGAACCGCCCAAATATGCAATGTGCGGAGGCCAAAAACAGGGTGTACGGAGGCCAAAAATGCAACGCGCGGAGGCTGAAAATGCAATGCATGGAGGTGGCAATCGACGGCGATGTGCTGTGGCCATCCCTGCATTCTGGGACGGGTCTAAAATGGAGCATTCGGAGTGATGCATGGAGGCCAAAAACACAACGTATGGAGGCAGTGATGTGCTGTGGTGATCCACGCAGCCTGCAACAGGTCTAAAACATCATGCGGAGGCCAAAAACGCAACACGTGGAGGCCGAAAACAGCTGAAGGGTGGGGGCCAGTGGGTGGGCAGGGCTACATTCAGTGTATAAGATGCACCCAAAATTTCACCCGCTTTTGTGGGGGGGAGAGTCTTATACTCCAAAAAGTACAATACTTTACTGAACAACTTCTCAGCTGTCCTGACTGGGGACAAAAGCAGAGCAGTGAAATTAGGTATTCTTTGACAGCTTGAAATTAAAAGGAAATAGAAAGGTAGGTAAGAAGCCTCAAAAGGGATGGTGAGTTATTATTACAATAGAAATGCTGATGCTTTGGAGTCATGGACCCCAGGAAGATATAGATGGAAAAGCATACCAGTAGGCAGGGAATTAGGTGCCTTTGAATCAGGCCAGATTTCTGATGGCTATCTGGAGTCTCTGGGGACAATCCACAGCACTTCCACAAACATTCCAGTAATATCTTTATTCTGTCCATATTATTTATTCTGCTTTCTTTATTTTTACATGCATAGTAGATTTTAACTAATCCATGCAGAGAGAAGTAAATCCATTAGCATGAGAAAGGATTTTGGAATGTTTATTGTTCTTTGCCCCAGGCTGAATAAAGAGTGTGAATGACTGGAGTAGAACAAAGAGCTTGAAATAGCACGGATTAGGGACTCTAGCCAAGTGTTAGAAGCCAGCTGACATGAGTCAAAAGGGAAACTTGCAGATGAGAGAGAAGGCAATACATCAATTCACTCTTACAATTTGGCTTTCTCAGAGCAGATAAATTTCCCTTACAGGATCTAAACTAGACTTTGAAAGTAGTTGGGACATCCAGACTGAACTGGCCAAAAAAAGCAAAACCAAAAAACAACAGCAAACAGCAACACTTGAACAATAGAATAATGAATATATGCATGCTATTGCTTGAGACCAAAATTTGATCACTGGAGGGAGAAATAATTGAAGTCATAATCCTCCTATTTGGGCCACATCTAATGGAGATATGATCTGCAGTTCTCAGATTATAACTGTGAACTTTTCCCAAAATGACTATATGTTTGTATTTCAAAAGCAGTGAAAAGAGAGCTGTTTTCTCCAGAACTCAACAGTCTACAGCAGGGGTGCACAGGCGAGATCCAGCCCGTGCTTAGAACTGGCTCATAAAGCTGACCTGGAAACAGCAAAGGACTGGCCCGCAGTGACTCTGCCAGCATAAACAGAGCTTGGGAGGGCAGCGCGCAGCTGCCCAGACTCCGTTTTCGGCTGCGACAACCTCCCTGCAGCTCTCTGCCAGTGAAAACGGAACTCAGGGGGGTCACGCACACCTCCCCCAAGCTCCATTTTTGCTGTCAGAGGGTTGCAGGAGGCCATCATGGCCGAAAATGGGGTCCAGGAGCCGGTTTTCGTGGCAGAGCACTCAGGACACCACAGCGCCCCTGATATGAGTGATGTCATGCTGGCCACACCCATCCCAGCCCGCCGAAGTCAAACACAACCCTGATGTGGCCCTCAATGAAATCGAATTTGACACCCCTGTTCTACAGTAACTTTGCACAGACTGCTGGAATGAAGTGTAGGGAATCACAAGTATAAAATATAATACTGGCAAAACATTATAGATACTTTAGCCAAATATATCAACGTTAATCAATTCACATTGCTAAATAGCATCCAGATGGCTCTGATTGACGAGATCTTTGTTCCATGTAGCATACACTAAATAACAAATGAAATGTCTAGTCTCCTCACTTTTTAAATTTTTTAAATTTTAAATTTTTATTTGTATTCCATCTCTTTTATGTTTACAGAAAACTCAAGGTGGCGAACATATCCAACAGACCTTTCTCCTACTATTTTCTCCACAACAACCCTGTGAGGTGATTTGGGCTGAGAGTGAGTGACTAGTCTAAAGTTACCCAGGCTGCTTTCATGCCTAAGGCAGGATTAGAACTTGTGGTCTCCTGTTTTCTAGCCTGAGGCCTTAATTACTAGACCAAACTGGCTGGTGGGGTCCTACATGTCTATCTTTAGCACCTTTCCCCAACTTAGTCTTCCAAAAGTATTTGGATTACAGTTCCCATGTTAAAAAGTACCTCACATTAAAACAGCTCAATATACATAATACCAATGAAGTTTTTATTCAATTAAGCTCTTTGCCAAAAACTCAAGGGACCCTAATGTCACGGTACATGTAGTTAGACACCATCCACACCCATTCAAAATGCGGTGGTGATTTTTGCAGCCCCTCTATACATACTATTTCAATAGGAAAATGCATAAACCCCACTTTTAGGCCATACAGTTGGCCTGAAGTTCCGCTTCCAAACCTCATTATGAAGCTCCAAGCTGTAGTCCACAAGATCAATTCCCAAAATAGTCTTCACTTCCAGTCTCTCGCTGGGTGCTAGCTGCTCTTCTATCATCCTCCAGAGCGATGGCATTGGCTTCAATGGCTCCCAGGAGAAACTGGACAAGGGGAACATAGGGGCAGAGTCCAATTCCAAGATAACAATAGAAATTCCCAGGTCTAATGCATTAGAGGAAAGAAGGAGATATAAGGATTAAATAGCAGGTGACAGGCACCCAATGCAAGGGCACCTGGTAATTTATCTCCATTTCTTCACAAGCAGCTTTAACTAATACCTATTATTATTATTATTATTATTATTATTATTATTATTATTATTATTATTATATTTAGGCTTAATGTTGCATTTTATGCTTTATTAAAATCTGCCTATCCCAAATCTTTGAGAAGCACTCAACAGGTTGATAAAAATTGCCAAATCTAATCTAATGTAATGGTGTAACCAGCCATAATAACAATCATTACTATGTATTTAACAAGGCAAGGTCACAGTCCCTGAACCCACTAAGCAAGACATCAAACTCATAATCACACAAATATTTAAGACGTAGTGATCCAGTGTTTCCCAAACCTGGGTAAATTACCTACATTTGATTAAAGTGGCGTTTTGTTTTGTTTTCTTTGAATAACAACAAACGAAGCCATTACTTTTAACCACAAGAACATTTAACCGTTTTACTTACATTCGGTAAAAAATATATATATTTTGGGGCAACGAAGGAAAAAGTTTGGGAAGACTTCCCTAACCCCTGCAGCCAACAAACCAGTGGTGGGTGGGTTTCAAAATTTTTTACTACGGGTTCTGTGGGCGTGGGCGTGGCATGGCTTGGTGGGCGTGGCAGGGGGAAGGATACTATAAAATCTCCATTCCCTCCCCAATCCAGGGAAAGGTTACTGCAAAATCCCCATTTCCTCCCGATCAGCTGGGATTTGGGAGGCAGAGAATAGATGAGGGTGGGGCCAGTCAGAGGTGATATTTACCGGTTTTCCGAACTAATCAAAATTTCCGCTACCGGTTCTCCAGAACTGGTCAGAACCTGCTGAAACCCACCTCTGCAACAAACCCACCTGTTCTCCATTATCCCCAGCTCCAACATGTTTAGCAGCTCATCCCGGAATCATTTGCCCGGCCAAATTAACCCCGCAAATCTCTCCTGCACTGGGCCCACCAGCTTCGATCGCGCTGCCAACTTAATTCCTCGCCCCTCTGGCTTTTGCCCGCAGACTGACCAACGCCCTCTGCACGCAGCTCCACGGGAAGGAGGAGGGGGCGCTCCCTCCACTCCCCCCCCCCCAATTCTTCACCTTCCCGCGCGAGCTCTCGGGAGCATCAACTCCTTGTCTCTATGGTAACACTCCCCCCCACCTCCTCGTTCCTCGGAAACCTCGCCTCTTAAAGGAGCCGCGTCCAGAAGGCCGAAACAGCCGCGAGCCCAGCGTGCAGACGAGCACCCTCGGAAACAGCCTTTGTGGCAAAGGGTGGGAATGTATCCGATCCGGCCACTTGCTACATTTCTACCTCAGTTCGCGTCCCCAGAACCTTAAAGGGGCATCGAAGGAAAAGGCCGGCGCGGGGGCATCCGAGCCGGGAGGCAGCGCGATCCTCCGAGGTGCGAAGTTCGGAGGGTTTTTTGGGGGGAAGCGCGGGGGGCTGTGAAGGCGGGTTGGAGCGCGGGAGGCAAAGCAGGCAGGGGGGCAGGCAGGGGGGGCAATGCATCTGCCCCTCCCAGCTCCGAGGTTCCGCCCTCCCTTTTGGGGAAGGGGTGCTCGGGTTTCACTCCGGGGCAGGCGGCTGCACAAAGGGCAAAGGAGCGCAGGGCCGGCCAGGTTGCTTGTCAGCCGCGGGCTGGATCCTTTCGCCTGGAGAAAAGCGGGTTCGCGGGTTTTCTCCGCCGGCTTCTCTGCCGTTTCCCCGCTCTGCCCAGCCGCCCCTGGAGTTTGGCGATGCCCTTTCCTTTGCTGAGCCTGGCATTGCTGCTGGCTAGGGTGCCTCGGCCCGGGCTGGCGGGGCCAGTCAGCACGTGCGATGCCAACGGGAGCCTGTACTTCCCAGGGGAGTGGTATTCCCTGGATAGTGACCACTGCATCCAGTGTGAGTGCACGGCGGAAGGAGCAGCTTGTGCCCGCACGGACTGCGCCGCTCTGCCGCCTGCCTGCATTCACGTCAGCCACTATCCGGGCGACTGCTGTCCGCGCTGCGAACGCGTCGGCTGTGAGCACCGAGGACAGGTTTATGACTTGGGGCAGCATTTCCAGGTGAGGCAAGCAGACGAACGCGGGGTGTGGGTCAGTGGTGAAATCCCAAATATTTTTGCTGCCGGTTCTGTGGGCGTGGCTTGGGTGTGGTGTGGCTTAGTAGGCGTGGCTTGGTGGGTATGGCAGGGGAAAGATACTGCAAAATCTCCATTCCCACCCCACTCCAAGGGAAGGATACTGCAAAATCCCCATTCCCTCCCCACTCTGGGGCCAGCCAGAACTATTCAAAATTTCCGCTACCGGTTCTTCAGAACCTGTCAGAACCTGCTGGATTTCACCCCTGGTGTGTGTGTGTGAAAAACCATCAGGCAACAACATTCGAGGCCAGGCAGGGATGGGTGGTGGCCGCTTCCCTGAGTGTGCGAACCTCCTTAACCAGGGCTAAAAGTGAAAGCTGCTAACAAACAAAGTAGTTGAGAAGTACCTCCGTCTATTGAAGATCCAAGTTGGGACATTAACAATATAGTCTTGACTTGTTCAGTCCAGAGGCAAGACCTGGTTTTCCTGGAGCATAGTTGGCTATGAAATGGAAACTGAATGACCACTTCGAGGATTGTCTTATGGTGTATTAGAAAGTGAGGTAGATGATAAGCACTAGATTAGAAATGGTATGAAGTGGTTTCTTAAAATCAAAATGTCTTGACAGCATGAAAGTAAAATAAGGACTTCAGTACTTATTTTAGGACTTTTCGCCTGTAGTACAATTGCTGTCTATTCAACTATCCTCTACAGTATTTCTCAGTCCGGACACTAAATCAGAGTTTGGTACCTTCTTTCTGGCAATTGCTAAAATTGTTTGCATTGTATTTTAAGAGATGAGTTGTCAGGCCAAAGAACTTGCTGGCCAGGAGGAGCTGGGCAATGAGGGAGGGGCAAAGATGGTTACCAATAGCTGAATAAACAGGTCTAGGCTAAGATGTTGTGGGTGGAAGATCAAAACCTGTTCTACTCCTGGGTTCCCTGCACCTGAGAATCACATGAATCATTCCCATGAAGTAAGGGCCAATCCTCATAACTGGGCAGTGAGCAGATAATGTCCGTGCTGTCAATTTTGCTGAGTGTTCTTAAGAGACATTTTGCAGTGCGCAGAAATAATTATTTCCCTTCCCATTAATTTTCCTTCCTCACTCCTTAATGAGTAAGACTCTGCGCACTTGAAAATGATTTGAGAGAAATGCCTTGGATCTCATGAGTAAGCACCTCCCGCTATTCATTAGAGCAGCCACAACCTTTTCATGCTTCTGTGCCAACAGAACTGTGTTAAATTCATTAAAGTTATTCACTTTAAAAAATGGCATCTTTTTTTCAGGCTTGCTGAAACAGGAGAGTGCTTCCTCCCATTGTTTGTGAGGCATGAACAGCCCTTTTAGAGAGGCCTAAACTTTGAAATTTGCCCAGAACTTTTGGGAGATGGGTACAAAATATTGCATGTTTGGTTTTTTAGTAAAAGTAACAAGGAAACTGTAACACCTTGCATTTGTATAAAAGTGAAATGTTGTTGGCAAAGAGCTTTTTAAAAAATGAGGTTAGCTGTAGTGATTATATTTAGTATTACAAGCAGCAAGACAATTTAGGAAGAAGGAAAAATTCTTTGCTCGTCTAGGGCAACATCTTGCCAAATCAGATCTGGAAAGCCTTTGGAGATTTTTAAGGAGCTGTGGAAAGCATCTTATATTAAAGAAAAGTCTTTTTTTCCCCCTTTGTTTTATGTTTCTGATCACGTCTTTTGGCAACAGGCATATAATATCCATGTGACCAACTAAAATTATTTCAACCGTTCAATAGAGGTGTGAGTTTATTTGCTGGTCCAATGGAGAAGGACTTTAATACAGAGAATAATAATATTAGGATTTTATCTTTAAGTAAATATGGTAGCTGGCAGGAAGGGCAGAAGGGGATTGAGAATAGGGTCAAGCTGATTGTTACTTATCGTATTTATATTTATTCATTATTGTTAGTTTGGCTTCCCTAACACTAGTGCTAGGCTTTGCTACTAGAGATATAATGAACTGGAACTAACAGTAACATCTTTGTTGAATATTTAAGTGCAGATCCTGTCATAAGATTCCTGGAGGGCATCACCTCCATTGTTGTAGATGTGTTTAGTATATCCTGATCTGAAATTCCATACCACAATCTTTACATGAATAATCAAAACAAAAAAAAAATTCCTACTATATAAAAGTGGTGGCTGGAGACTAATAGCTCAAGAGAGCCTATTGGAGGCTTGCATTTCTCCTAAAACTGAAGCCAAACTGAATGGATGGTGCCCCCTGATGGTGTCATCTTAGTATTGTGAAGTCTATGAAAATGTTTGCAAGTGCTACAAAATTGCAGAAAAATGTGGAAATACTTGCAAAATGTATCACTTATGGACAAGTAACTCTCTGCCAAATATTGTAAGCAGTAGCTCAGTGGCTAAGGCACTGAGCTTGTTGATCGAAAGGTCGGCAGTTCAGCAGTTTGAATCCCTAGTGCCGTGTAACAGGGTGCGCTCCTGTTACTTGTCCCAGCTTCTGCCAACATAGCAGTTCGAAAGCACGTAGAAAATGCAAGTAGAAAAATAGGGACTTTGGTGGGAAGGTAACAGCATTTTGTGCATCGTTGGCCTTTAGTCCATGCTAGTCACATGACCACAGAGACGTCTTCAGACAGCACTGGCTCTTCGGCTTTGAAACAGAGATGAACGCCGCCAACTAGAGTCAGGAATGACTAGCACATATGTGCGAGGGGAACCTTTACCTTTTATCCCACTTGCTTGGATAACACACTTGTCTTAACAAAAAAAACTGTTGCCATAGCACTATTATGGCAGATTTGGGCACAAATATGAGGTTCTTCAGCTGGGACGATCCCAGTAGCAACATGGCAGCATATTATTCTTAATGCTTTTTAGAAAAACTCTTTCTGGAAGAGACTTCAGCAGGACCTGAAAAGGGAAGTGTGAGTAAGGAGGAAGGAAGTTGCTTAACCATGAGATCAATACTGAAACCAGTCGTTCTGTTTGTCTCTAAAAAGGCGACCTCTGTCAAATTTTTGTTTAACGGGGACTAATTATGTCTTGCAAATACTTACTATGTGACTGCAGTGATAGTGAACTGTTCGCACAGCACTAAGAGAGTCTTTGTTGTAAGAGAATGAAGAAAAAGAAGAGGCAGGCTTGCCCAGAAGGCATTTTCCAGAACCTTGCAGTATGACAATGTGACAGTGCAGAAATAACCTTCAAAATAAGTTTTGTGCCAGTCTGTAAGAATATGCACGTTGCAAAGTATTGCACAGGATAGGCACAGCTTGAGAATAAATTCTTCCAATGCTGTTGTACACATAGAGGAGTGATTGCAAATTGCCATGGCCCATTGATCAACCTTTGTCCCCCCCCACCCTCGCAGCCTTCCGAATGCGAGCAGTGTACTTGTGACTTGGATGGAATTGCCCGCTGCCTGGTAGCAGACTGTGCCCCTCCACCATGTGTCAATCCCATCTATGAGAAAGGCCATTGCTGCCCCATCTGCAAGGAAGGTGAGTAATTAAGGGAAAGGCGTGCCACTCCCAAGTAACCACTGGGCTATGGCACTTGCTTTCCTCTTTGAGGGTGCCTGAACGAAAATATAAAGAATGAGTTAGATTTCTGCGGCTAATATAAGTACTATAAAGTTATACTCTTGCTTATGTTCCAAAATCTGGGAATGCAGGCAGTCCTCACAATTGTTCAGTTATGACAAACTCATTCTCAAACGTATGACTGCTGCACACGTACACACTGTGGTCAAATGATCATATTTTGGGTGCTTGACAACTGGCTTATATTGATAACTGGTTGCAGCATCCTGTGATTGTTTAATTGCTATTTGCTTTTTTTTTTTTTTTTTTTTTTTGGCAGTTTGTGGGTTTTTTCCTGGTTTCTGGCAAAAAAATGTCCACTACAGGCAAATGGATTTGCTTAATGACCATGTGATTTGCATAATGGCTGTGGTGATTCATTTTGTGAGCATCATAAAAATCGAACAAGGTCACATGGTGATCTGCTTAATGACCTCAACTTACCCACCATAATTCCAGGCTCATTTGTGGCCATTAAGTGAGGACTACCTGCATTTGCCTTTCTATGCCACACCCACATAGAAAACCCATTTTGTTTCTGATAACTCATGCAAGCTACATTTAGAGGGTCAATGGCCAAGTGACAGCAGACTGATGGCCTCTGTTGTTTTCTCTTATCTTCATGGTAAATCTTGGTGAAACATTGAGAAAATACTTTTATTCCCACAGGACCAAACTGTTATGTAGATGGGAGCCAACACAACATTATTCCTGCTGGAGATAGCGTCTGGGTCGGTCCCTGTATTCGCTGCCGCTGTCACGATGGCCAAGACGCTGGCTACTGGGAAGGAAACCGCTTAGCTAAATGTGAGCAGCTGGCAGGATGCCGAGTACCAAATAGGCACCATTCCTAACCCCTTGAAATATTAAGTGGTCCCTTTAACCACATCTCATAATCTCTTTAAGGGCTAAATTACAAAGAAACCCCACCAGATGCTCTTCTGCCAACTCCAAACTACAATTACCTATCCTAGACCCTGGTCAGAGTCCAGTTCCCTACTCCTCCTATCTAGACCTTCTATAAAAGATCCTTCAGTTGCTGCTGCACTACAATTCCCATCATCCCTTGCCAATGGCACTCCTGCCTGGGGTTGCTGGGTGATATACTTTTGCAACAGCTGCAAGGCAACAACTTTCCCATCCCTGCTCCCCAAACACGTTGCCAATAGCAATCTCCGATATATTTTATATAAGATTTGACTTTCCTATCTTCCCCTCCCAGAATTCCAGTTAATTTCACTCAAAAGACAGCTCTTTTGTACAGTGTTATACTGAATAGCTTCATCGGCATGTACGCCTTGACTATGTGACAATAAAGGATCCTTATAAAACAGCTTCTCTTTCCTCTACAACTATACGCATAATTTCCTGGGCCAATTACTCATGTTTCTACCCCCTAAAATCAAGTTAGTGT